CAGGACCTTTTACTTGGAAACTGATGTCTGCTAATGGCCTTCCCATGTCCTTTTTCTCATATTAATTTATTTCTTTGCTTTCCAATGCTCACATGAGTCGCTCTTTCTACAAAGGTTATTTGGAGATCACATCCATTGCTATTTTTCATTCTAGTTCTCTATTTTTCATATGCTTCTAAGAGCACAAAGCCCTGATCATTCATTTTTCTCATTTGACATTATTTCTGAGGTCACCATAGATAAAACTTTGATGCATTTTAATTTTTAATAATGCAATCAGAGATATGTTATGGTTGGTATCAGATATATAAGGTTCATTACCAACATCTCATGTCATTGATGCTTGATATCTTCAAACATTTTCCATCATATATTAAAGATAAATCCTCTTATGCAAGATTTTGGATTCAGTTTTAGGATCAAAAGTGGAAATTTGGGGTAGAGATCAGATGGGACTGATATCTTTGCAGATTTCTCTATGGTACCTTCTAAAATATACTATGCTTGTATGTAGGCCTGCAACTTTTATCAAGGAATTTAACTGACCAATTATTTTGTAGGGCACTGGTGCACATATGAACTTTAGATGGTGCTGTTTGTTTAGAGGAGTATGCATACTCCAAAAATTCAGAGTAATCCAAAAGTATTCCAATACTCCAAAAGTTCAGAGTAATCCAAAAGTAATATGAGCAATTGGAAAATGAGAAAAAAAAAGAAATAATAATAATCTCCACCAAAAGGCACTAGGAAGTCAAAGAAACATGTTATACATAATTGATTGTGACCAGAAATTCGATGAATATTATCGATGATAACCTTATCATGTACCAGTCCCATGTCTATCCTTGAGGAACTGATGTATCACCACACTGAGCAATGGACAGCACCTACCTTTGCTGATTTAAACAAAGAAAAAGAAGAGGGAACAAAAAGAGTAAAAGACAAGTGCTTACTTCTCTCTTCTGATGTTATGCTCCAATTTGGATTTTTACTCAAACGGGTAAAAGATCCAAATTGGTCTGTCAATGATATGTTATCAACTCAATGGGAATCCATATGCACATTATTCCATGAATAATCACCAGTAACCGTTACCTTTTGCATAACCTTAGAGCAACAAGTATGTGGAAAAATATTATATGTCACACTTCAACAAAACCTGGTCGAATTGATCAATGCTTGTTTAGGTCATTAGATGGTAGAATTTGAAATACTACTGTGGCCTGTAAACTGAGTCTTCTACCTTTGTTGATGGCATAATTTTCATTTAGCTGCATGATGCTGTCATACAGAATCAGGTTACTTTCTTGTAGTGAATCATGTTTAGGACTACTGAAAATTGACTGTTTGTTGACTGTAAGAACATATAAAAGCCTGGTAAAAAGCTTGTTGTTCAATTGTTTCACAAATTTTCAGGCAACAAATGAATCACTTTTTGTCTGCTCTGCAACAATATCTGCATTCACAGTTGTCAAATGTCTCCTGGTCTCGTTTTCAACATTCCCTTAAACATCAGGTATAATTTATTTACTTGAAACAATATCTTTTCTACCTCAAAAGGAGTTGCCAATAAACAAGGCTTCCACCATACATGTTTTAGGGATTGTTACTTCTGCAGATCTTTACGCCGCATGTGTAGATATTTTCCTTCTATTGATTCCACAACCTCAAAGTTGTGTAGAACTACCTCATTGCTGCAATGTTGTCTTTTCAAGTTACCTAAGACTTGCTGTGATTTTGTGACTGTTCAATTGTCAGAATAATTATGAAATGATGCTGGAAGAAGTTACTCACATGATTCATTTTAGTCAATGTTGTAAGCTGATTGTTTTATATCTTAGAGAAGATGTTAATTAATTCCTCTAAACACAAGTAACTTTCTGAATAAGGTGGATTTGGTGATTCATTTTAGTCAATGTTGTAAGCTGATTGTTTTATATCTTAGAGAAGATGTTAATTAATTCCTCTAAACACAAGTAACTTTCTGAATAAGGTGGATTTGGACCATTTGATCAACTTTTCTGGAGTCTTAACTATTATGTGGCTGCAGTGTAATTGCTGACTCTTCCGACAAGAATTCTCCAAGGCATTCAACAATTGTCTTCTGTAATGGGACTCCTGATAAGAAATTGAGAAAGAAAAATGAAAATGAAGTAGACAATATAGTAAAGAGGATGTTGACAAAGTAAAAGAGAACAACTATATTCTGGTTTAGAAAGAATATGACAAAGATTAAAAGAAGTAATTTGCAAAATATAGGAATGTAGTAACGAGAAAATGGAGCTAAATGAAAGAGGTGAAGAATATTTGAGGACTACTAAACTTTCTGGTGGCTAGAAACAAAATCTTGTGGACAACCAAAGTATATTGGTGTCTTTTACTGCATGAAAATGTTTCTTCTTGCAAAGTTATTATTCTGGTGCATTTCTGTCCCACTTAATGAATGGCTCTGATGTATTTTTTACTCTAAAACCTCTTAATCATTTGTATGGTTGTCTGTTGAGCATCCTTTCATAGCATCTGGTTTGCAATCTGATCAATTATTGGGAGTGAAAAATAATCTCTTTTCACATTTGACTTGGGGAAATGTAATAATAGTTTTGAGTTCAAGTTTCATAATATAAGATCATGGAAAAATGAAGAATAGGTGATGTCACGTTTTTATATACCATAAATGTTCAATAAACTTGTCCAATTTTTTTCTCGTTGACTTGCTCTTTGTTTTGATGGTACTGACCAGACATTGAAGAAGTCGATCTTTGATCGTCTTTATTGTCTTGAGAGAAAGTGATCATGCACACAGCAAATGTCACCGCTCATCTTCTGCTAAGAAACATCAGTCGATTCACTTCCATCATTTCATGAGAAATTATAAATCTAATGTTTCAATTTGTACATCTTCAAAATTTTCAACCTATCAGTCAACTATCGGCAGCAATATTTATAAACATGATACTATCGAAAGTCAAAACAACCATGAGGAGCTCTGTGCTCCAGTATTATTTTGTCTTTTATAATATGTTGTTAGCTGCCAGGCTGCACGACACAATTTGTTACTGCTTTTCTGAAAAGGTTATTGTTTAACTTTTGATTGGTGATGCTTGCGCAGGTCAAAGACATGCTAGACTTAGAATCTGTGCACATGTCATATCTTGCGGAAGCTTTACACATGTAAGTAAATTGTGGATTAACCTCGTAGATATTGCTCTCAAAACCATTACTCATTGTTAAATCACAAGACAACTTAGATCAATGAGGACAAAATAATGGAAAGGAAAACAAGAGGGGCCACAATGCTCTATGGCACTTATCTACTTTCCCTTGTTATGTCAGAACCTCTCAAATAAATTTTTGAATGCTCTTTAACTTCAGATTCCAAGTGGTTCTTCACGGCCGTGAATAATGAGTTCTCTGCATCTGTTTAACAAGTTGTTTTACTGTAGCAAGTTTACTATTTTCCCTTTCAGATGCTTTTTATCTGAGGACACAAAGCCTGTAGCTGTTATCATAGAAAACATTTTGCAATGTGCTTTAGACTTTGGGCTGCATCTAACTGGAGGTCATTTATATGCTGGAACCAACAGACCAGGACCATTAAACTTGCAATCTGACATAAACCTGTGTAAGGTAATAGCTTATTTTTCTCATTGATGTTGTATCTTGTTCTTTTGAAGTCATTGGTAAATGGTTAGTTCTCTACTTTGGATGTTGTGTCCAGTCAGAAGATGAATCTTTCGCATTCCATATACGTGGAAAAACACTGACATGATATGGTGAACACAGTCTAAAGTCTCGTGGGCTGTTTTTTAAATTATAAATGGTTTCTGAGTTCATTCATGTCATGCTGCAGGTTTCCACAATTCAAACAATATTTGAAAGAAATCTTAAAGATTTGTACCTATTATATCTCAAGTCTCCGAAGCATGTTGACTTCAGTCTTTGTCGTTTCTGGGATCACCTTAACTACAATGAGTACTACTCCAACATCTTCAACAGAGACACTACCTACTTGTGCTTGTGAGACTATATCCAGATTTATCAACAGTTTGCAGATGAGTGTGTGAATATGATGAGATGATTCCAATTAGAATCCAGGCAGGCCATTACTGGGTACCTTTATTTGCGATACTGTTATCTCGGAGGCAAGAGACGTGTCTCGGAACTCATGCAGTTTCAGTATCATGGTCAGTCATATGGCATTCTGCATTTTGGCAGAAGACAGAATCCAATTACTTCATTGACTTGCAACTTAGATGCTACATTTCTTGGATTCTGCCACTTTGAAGGATCTGTGATGGCATGTGGAATCTAATAGGTGCATGATAGATTCAGTTTACATGTTTCACAGCAGTTGCTTGTTATTTCTTCCTTCATCAACCAAGGCCAAATGTAGTTTTTCAGAGAATATGCCGTGTTGATTGTGATCGTCGTAATCCTCTCTCATACACCGAAAAAAGAAAATGGCTCTGCCAAATGTATAATACGGTTTAATCCGTGTTGTGTAAATTGTAAGAAAGTGTGATGCTACATTTGATTCTTGGTTAAATGTAATGTATGATTCCTTCTATCATAAGACTGTTGATGCTTAGAAAGAATTTGGGTTGGCTTATGAATTTTTGAAGCATCTGTCCTATTTTCGATTAATTAGATATTTCATTATATTTGATATAATTAAAGATAATTTTCTTATACATGTAACTGACACCAAGTAATTGAGAAATACCAATTCATTGTTAGCCTATTTGGAATTCACCTTTGAGTCTTTATGCCCCAATATCTCATCCACAAAAATACAAAAAAAAAAGAAGATTGCCAGTATAAAAAATTATGGATTTGAGCCTATAAGATCAACAAAATTAGTGATCAGCAATTTTATTCTGAGAAAACAAGTGAACAAGCTGATAACAAAACATGACAAATGAATCTTTGAGCTGTGACTGAACACTAGAACAAGTGTAGTTATGTTATGAATCCAATCCAATATGTCATTTGATATTTGATTCTTTCAATCCTTGGGATTTCTAACAGTGCCTTTGAGGATCCATACCAAAATTCTTCAAGCATGATCCAAGTTTCAATTGGAGATTTCTCCTCTCAAATAAGGATGAAATCCAGATATGCATCCCAAAAAACAGAACACAGGACAAGGCAAAAATGTATTGAACAGAGAAGCATGACCAATCTCCAAACTTGTATTGCATTTGGTGATGTTCACAGAACAAGATCACCTGGAAATTACACGAGCAAGTGTTTGTAGATGGTACAGCAGATGTATGTATAGATTGCAGATGGACAAATTAGTGTTGGAGTTGCAGATGAACATGAAGGCAATGGTGATGGTTTAAGCCCACCATGGCGCATCCCCTGTTCTGAAGTCTGTCTCCACCCAGGGCACAAACACAACCTTTCCATCATCAATGTCAACATGAGCCAAAGCCAAACAAATCCCAGCTTAGTGTACTGTGAAAGCTACCCACTGGTATATATGACTGATACATTCTTATCCTTTAGATGCAATGGAATAGAATAGCTAAAAAGAAAATATTTACGATGATAAAGATATTAATTGAACTGATCTCAAAAGTCCAAGCAATTAGAAAAGAGAACAATTCATATTAAATTCCAGCATCGCGTGTACAAGTTGATTTAGGCTTGTTATTTGAAGTTGAAACTAAATAAATGATGTAAGACAAATTAAATAGAAGATCGTTGCATAAATATTGGAAAAAAGAGTGATAGATACAAGGTTCAAACTCATTTCCTACTTTGATACCATGATAAATATTTTGATTGGGCTACCATGGTATATCCGATACAAGATTCAAACTCATTACCATGTTATATTTGAAGGTATATAACACATCCATGCGAAGATTTAACTTGTTGAACATCAGGTTTGCCATCTAAAGGCTAAGCTAAAGAAGAGATATGAGATATGATCTATTCATTTATATTCTCAACACTCCCTAGAATCTAATAATCTAATAATTAAGCTTTTGGGATTATTGGAAATCCAACCAAAATCTTTATCATCAGCATGGGATTTAATTTTGTTTTCAGCCCTACAGAAGGCAATGGCAATTCAGATACAAAGAGACAGAGGAATGAAGGCTTACCAAGGGTGCAGGGCCTCTCACAACCTTGCCTTGGTTGTCCTCCTGAGATCCATGGCAAGGGCAAATAAACTTCTTCTCAGCAGCATTCCATGGAACAACACAGCCAAGGTGGGTGCACACTGCATTGATGCCGTAGGTTGCCAAAGTCTTGTCATTCTCCACCACAAGATAAGTTGGGTCTCCCTGCAAAATGAAACACTTCATTCTCAGAAACAAATCTTTCCTGCTATAAGTACAGAATCCAGAAGAAACAGTTGGTGAATCCTTAAAGATCCAAACAGAAGGTGGAACAGTAGATAAGACCCAAACACAGGATGATCGAGCATCAAAGTTTTCATACTGAACTCTTTCTGAAGAACATATAAATTCTCACTTGACAACAAATCGATCGGTTCTTAGACTGAAGATAGCTTCATTCCTTGTATAAATACAGAATCAAGAAACAGTCGGTGAGTCTTCGAAGAATACAGGACCAATTCTCCTTGGGTACCAACCATATCAATAACTCAGGAATTAGTCTGAGTAAAGCTCGAAATTTAGAGAAAACTGATAACTAAATGATCAAACATCAAAGTTATGATACCAAATATACTGCTTCCAAGGTGAAAAAACACAAAGCAAATGGTAAAGAACACAAACCTTTAACCCCTGGGTGAGTGTTCTGTCACCAGGCAGCTTCAATGACATCGTTTCCAAGTGCATCTTTGGCTATGGTTCCACCACCGGCTCCTCCTGAACTGTAGAACCAGGACATAAAACTTAAGCATCCGCAACAACGTAATCAGGATGTGTGAAGATCCATATAACTATATGATTTGGTCACCGGAAATGAAGCAAAACATCATCTTTTTAAGCAACAAAATAGTCGATTACAAGAATGGTGGAGTAATTCTATTTTCCCTGCACCCAAAAGTTACACTTGCTGTAAATGAACATTTCCAGATTCACGCATCCTAACAAGAGACAGGAAAAAAGATTATAGCTTTCAGATTTATTATTGCTTTGACAGTCCATATTGTGTTCATAAGCTAATCATTTGTGCTTGTGACAGCTGATTTCGTAAGAACACACATAAAAGAACGATAGAGAGATAGGGCAGCTGTTATCCACCAGGAACGAAGAAGGAGGAGTAGGGAATCAGCATGCCGGCGGTGGGCAACGATACAGCGCCGAGAAGAAGAAGGTTCATAAGCTGCCTCTTCCCCATGTCCGGCACTCTGTCGGCGGGGATGCTCGTCGCCTGGCAAGTGATCGTTCGGCTTCTCTCCTTTCCCAGGCCCGGCAGCCCCCTCACGGGCTTGCACAGAAGAGCTCCGGATGGCGACGACATCCCATTCTTACTCGCGCACAGCTGTGCGTAAGAACGGCTGAGAAGAACTGATGACGAACAGGGCAGGGGAACAAGGCTGGTCAGTACCTGAGACGGGGTGGCAGCCGTTGAGAGAGTGGTGGTGGAAGCCATGGGCGTGGGAGATGTGGAGCTTCTTCCTCTCCCCAACAGGTGACGAGGACTGCTTCAGGTGCCGCCGCTGCTTTTTCTTATGTGAGTGAGACGGGGAGGAGGAAGATAGATGGGGCGGAGGTGCTTCGGTTGGTAGAGAAGCCATTGACGTCATGCAGCTGAAAGCTCTGCTTTTGCTGCATTGCGTGGCGAGAGACGTCTCGTCCGTATTTGATGCAGCTGTTGGATTTCCTTTATCTGTATGCGGATCCCATCCAAGTCCAACTTCGGAATCGGAATCGGATCGGTCGATCCCATCCCGCCGCAAGGCTTAGCGCCAGGCGGCGGATCCCATCCAAGTACGCTTTGAAACAGAATGCTCCAATTCAGCATCGCAATCGTCGGTTGATGAGGGCCCGCACGATGAATAGATCCGCTCCAACTACTCTTCGAGAGGGAATCTTCAAATTAGCATTGCTACCTTCTGTTGATGCGGGCCCATGAGTCCATCTGATTCCATCCAAGTGAAGCTTTGAAGTGGAATCGTCCCGTCCCCCAATCGGGACCGTCGATCAATGCGGGTCCCACGTGCGGATAACGGGCGTTATATATATTCTGCGGAAGGATGTTATGTTCTGTATAACGGTACAAATGACATGATTGTATTTTTCAGTATATAACAGAAACAACCGTCATCATATTGTTCGTCATGTGAATTATCACCTCAATTTCAATTTTTTTATATTTCTTATTATTTAAAGAATTATTATTAATAAGCAATAATATTGAATAATAAATCCGAAATAATTCAAAATTTAACCCGACATGTTTACCCTTCTTTCGAGAATCCAACCGGTGGAGCCCGCTCGTGAGGTGAGGTCAGTAAGATGAGCTGACGACGTTGGAAAGTTTGTAGCGCTTTTTCTTGGTTCGTTGGAATTAGGAAAAGATAGTCTGTACCGTGTCTGGTACCACACATCTAGCCTCTCGCACCTCCGCGCTCTGTTATTTACCTGATCCACCCCTCTCTGTCTCTCTATCTCGCTCGCTCTCTATCCATGGCGACTCTCTCTTCCCCACATAATTTATCCTCCTCCATCGCTTCTTCTGCTTCTCCACCACCTCCTCCTCCACTCCAGTTTCCTCTTCTCTCCTCTCCGTCTGTCCTCCCAAGTCTGATCGACAGATCATCATCCCATGGCGTAAGGCTTTCGTCCCCTTCTTCCTCCCGGAGGTGGGCGAGCTTACGCCGGAGGCCCCGCGTTCGTCCCTCCGCCTTGCTCTACGGCGGCGGAGGAAGGCCAGTAGACACCCAGACGTTTATCGTCACTGCCACTGTCCTCGCCGCCGTCGCACTTTCCCTCTTTCTCGGTCTCAAGGTCACTCCTCCTCCCTACGCCCTTTTATCTCGGAGAAAGTCTCGATTTCGAAGCGGGGTTAGGGTTTTGACGAAAAATGCGTGATTGGTTCTCTCTTTCCCCTTCTTTCAGGGTGATCCGGTGCCGTGCGAGAGGTGTGGCGGTAATGGTATGTTTCATTTTGGTCCTCCCGATTTCATCTCATTTTTTTTTCTATTAATTGTTCTCCAAAACCACCATTGATACTTTTGTTTCTTGAATTGGGTTTTTTTTAGGTAAAATAACTCCATTAATTCGGGATGCGTCTATCTAAATTATAGTTACTGAATTGTGTGAGATAAGGCAGTTCCTGTTGATTCATGACAACATTCTAGTGGAAAATATTGTTCTTGAGTTTATATACCAAGGAACAAATATTCACCTTATCTTTATTTGCTAATTACAGATTACTGTGTCAATTTGGTCTATCTATTGTTACCGAACTGTAGTAATATGCAGTATAAGTGAATTTTTTATAGTTGTTCAGTGGAAAAATGTATGTCCGTTTGATCTGCATGTAGATCATCTCTTCTGGAATGTGGAACAAAAGGGCGAGGCTTTACCTTTTCTCTATCTTCTAATTATAAGATGACTAGGTGTCACTTTGATCTTTAACTAAGTGTAAGTAGGGGTATAACAGAAATGATACAAGAAACTCAAAACTTATTTACGTAAAGTTGAGTATTTTGCCATCGTACTCACCATTTTTATCAAGCCATAGGCATGGAAATTGTATCTGGTGTAATGGAAAAGGGATATAAGTGTACTGACAGTAGCTATACTCGCTATACGTAATTTATACCAGACTTCACTATTATATGTATTCTATACCAGATTAACCATTGTACCTATGTCATACTATACTTCCCTATTGTACTTATGGTATACTGGATTTCTCTATTATACTTACTGTATAATGGAGGTTTTAGATTATACTTTTGATATACTAGACTTCATTATTATGCTTATGCTATAATGGATTGTTTGGAAATGTGGTGGCAATTTCAGCTACAGAATGCCTTTTGTAGCCAAATCATGTTGGTTCCTACTTCCTATAGAGTAATAGCATATTCATTGTAAGATAAGAGGAAGTGAACAGTTATCAGTTCTCTGCTTCTTTGAAAATCATTATTTTGCACTTTTTTCCATGCGTATTTGTATACGTTACTTTCCACTCAATTATTGTTCTAACATTGTTTAGTTACATTTTGTGCAAGTGAATGAATTCTGGAATGCTTTTTTGCGTTGTAGGCCCAAATGCAGAGGCATACTGTATTCATAATATTAGCTAGAATCAATTACCCTGTGTGTCCAAAAGATGTAAAGATTTCACAGCAACTCTAATCATTTGGATGGCGTATAATGAAGCCAAGCTTCGTTGCAGGACATGAGATGCCATTTAGGAGTATAAACCTGACCAGTAACTTAGATGTTTCAGTGGATTTCATCATTTCTTTTTTAATATTTTGGCCTTTAGAGAAAGCATGAAATAAAATATACAACATGCATAACTTCTTTGACAAAGGTACTAAGATAAATAGTCTATGATGTATTACTGTTGCCAGTAATAAATGATCTTTCATGATTCTACACCATAATCCAAGAATTCTCATTTGCTTTCCTACAGGAATCAAGTTATTTTCGAAAGAAATGGATCTAAAAGTTTTCACTTTTCTGCTTAGGTGGCACAAAGTGCGTTTTCTGTAACGACGGTAAAATGAAGCAGGAAACCGGTCTAGTCGATTGTCGGGTGTGCAAGGGTGCAGGTATTTTCTTAATAAAATTTTGTAGTGCTTCATATATCAATAGTGATAAATTTGAGATTCTCTTGTTGCTTTGCGTATTTATTACTCTTAATTAATGCTGTAGGTTATGGAACATTCACCAAAAAAGTGATACCTGTTATTGAAAACATTTAATTAGGCTTAGTTTCTAAAATCCCAATGACCTTATTTGTTAGGTACCAAGTAGCATTACAGCAGGCAACATGATCTGATAAGTTAAACAATGATGCTCAAATTTATAATTCACTGCATATCTGACATACATAACCTTGCTTTGGCAACATAGTCTGGATGAACAAGGCTTAATATGTGTTGGTGATGTCCTGCTCAACAACATACTGGTTGCTACTTGTCTGTTTTATCAAGCAAGGATGTCTTTCCCCATTTTTGGTTTGATCAAGGCCTCTGACAACTAAGTGAATTGATGCAGGGCTGATACTCTGCAAAAAATGTGGGGGTTCTGGATATTCAAGGCGCTTGTAAACTATCTGTTGATTTCTTACTCTTGCACGCTATTCTTCATTCCACAACTTGCGACTAAAATGTCACCGAGAATATGTTGTTGATTGGTTACTTGAGAATTCCAGTCACCTTCAAGTATTCCTGAAGCTGTAGCGCATTACCGATCAGATGAAATTGTGAAGAGCATGTCAAAATGTAATTAGATCCGCACAATTGTCTCCTGCATCGATGAGCAGGTGGGTTGTTCCCATTGAAATGCACGATTATTTGATGATTTCATGCCTAAATTTTCTTTTCATTTCGTATTTTGCTCATCTGGTGGTACTCGATAGTTCTCTTAGTGGTGTGATCATTTTCAGCTTCATTTTTTGATGATTTTTCAGGGTTTTCAGCTTGATTAATAGCTTTTGCCCACAGGGATTCTTTCTGCAGATACCTACGAATCCTACCTTCCCTGTGATTGGGGTAGCTTATTGAAAGTGGTTCCCAGGAACGATAAGTGCAACCGCAAGACACGTCGATGTTCCGTACCGGGAAGCTTCTATCTTTCAAGAGAGAGATCGGTTGATGCTGTTCCCGGCGTCCCTCTCGCGTCGCCCTTTTGAAGTCGAGACCGACTCCAATTTTATCCTCTTATTTTTTGGTACAATCTTCCACTCTATCATCGCGACGCCGGGGAGAGAGAGAGAGCGACGACAGGGGAATCCCAAGAGGGAAAAGAGATCCCTTCGCCCTTTTTCCCCTATCTTTTTCTTGTCTTCAATCGGACACGGTTGTAAGATGGGGTGTCAGTTGGGGTTGGTGGCGGCCGATGCGACGATGATCTCGAAACCCTCCTCGCGCGGTGGTGGCGCGCCGGAAGAGTGATCTCCGGTTTCCGGAGCCGTGCGGCGCTGTTTCTTTCGTTTCTGACACCGGCCTCCGGGGTTAGCTGCCGCGATGGAGGGGCAACGAGGCCCGCACCGACCTACAGGGTGGTGAATGCGATCATCGAGGATGAGGACGACGGGCACACGCTGACGGCCGTTCCGGCCATCGGGGAGGAGGGTATGCGAGGGTTTATCGGCCCACGGCTTTACTGTTTGGTGATGCAACTGCGCTGAATGGCAATTCGGCAGCTCCACCATGATCGGCAGGGAGCGCTGGAATCGGTATGTCCTCTCTCTCGATTTCTCCACCATATTAACTCTACAATTTGCTGGCTATATCGAGTCTTTAATTCTTTTGCACCAAGGAAATCTTCATCAGTCGCAATGCTAGTCCCTTTTTTTATCGAAAAGAAAAATAAAATTGATACTAAGCGAGAAGTTAGTACTCATACTATGGATTTTTTTCAGCTCATACAAATTTTTAGGGCGTGTGAACATGGCTGCTTGTTCTGCATGCTCGTCATCATTGGCTACTTGTTGTGGGAACACTTTGATTGCACTATTTGTTTTCCACCCCTAAATCTTGCTTGATGTAGGCCTCATTTGCTTGTTATCGTAGAGAAACGTCAATTGGTTTTATTTATTATGATGGGAAATGAATGGCATCATCTCACTGGTTGCCAGTGATCAGACCCGTCATTTTCACTTTTCATTGCAAACTGAGAAGGAAGAGTAAATTATTCTGGCCTTTTCCGCCAGTTAAAAGGCTTCTTGCCGTTTCAGACTTGCAATGGGTCGCGTTACCATATTTTAATGAACTGCCCAAAGGAAGGCTCTCTCTAAAAGGACGTACCAGTTTCTTTGGATCAATGGTTGGCTTTCCTGTGTGATTTATGTACCCTTTTCCTTTTGTGTCTTGTGATTACCTGCAAACTGTTCCTTTCTATGTGCACGATTGGATTCTCGATCCATGCAGAGATGATCTTTCACTTGGTGGTGTAAACAGGAATCTCTAATATTATTGAACTGACATACTTGTTGGCTTGGAACATATTCATCCACATATCCATAGAAATCTAAGGTGGTTGATCTCAGACATCCTGTGGTGTTTATTATTTCATCTGTCTCTCCTATCAGATATAATGTTCAGTCTCCTACTGTGATTTTTGTGTATATGCAATTGTGTTTTGTGATGAGACTTTTCATAAATATCACATACTAATGATCCCCTTTGCATGCTACTGCTAGTCCGAATGGGAGAGGCTTCAAAGATCAGGATGGAATCTCCTCTCCGAAGGCTGCCACAGTCACCGCCACAGACGGCCCTTCATCTTCAACGCACCTTGGCTTCCTCCTCCTCGCCTTCCTTCGACCGGGAGACAGAGGACGTCAGGCTCTTCCCTTGCCACTTCTGCAACAAGAAGTTCCTCAAGTCCCAGGCCCTTGGGGGGCATCAGAATGCTCACAAGAAACGAAGGACCATGGCTGGATGGAGCTCCTTCAATTTCGTCTCTCCTCACCGCGGGTGGACTACGCCGCCGTTTCCCATCGCCTCCCACGGATCCAAGTATGTCCCGCGTGAGAGCTTCAACTCCCCTGGGCCGCCTCGCTTCGGCGCTGACCACCCGCAGCTGGCCACTGCGAGCGGGAACCGAGCAACGTACGCCGCTGGACACGAGACCATCGATCTTCTGAACTGGCAGAGGGGTTCCCACCCTCCACAAGTGCTCTTGGCCGATGCCTCCAACTCCGACGGATGCCAGACCGAGCTTGATCTTTCTTTGAAGCTCTAGTAAAGCTCCGCCGTCACACGTACTTCTCCTTTCCTGGGTCACTGCTTGTGTCACGCCTTCGTTTTGTTCTGTTTGGCTGAACTGGCTTTTACTTTGCCCTTGTCATGACTCTTGCGGCAGCGGCGGAGTGAGGTGGGAAGAACACGTATGCTTGTGATGCGGCTGGCATCAGTATTCATTGGTGGTGAGGCGTCGACGTACCGTAAAGGATGTGCACTGTGGATGATGGTACTCTTAATCTCCTTCGGTATTTCCTCGTGAATAGCAGTTCAGCTCATCAACCAATCAACCCTTAAGATTACTGAGCTTGTGTTTTCTCTCGTATAGAGTAGTTTGGATTTCAAATCCTTTCTTTACCAACATCATGCGGGGCATATGTGATCAGATTATTTCTTACGTATCTGTCGTATGCATCATAGGACAAACCGAATTCCATAGTGATCTGTAGGACGCCAAAATTATACTCCATTTGGTGATTTCCTTTCTGTGCTTGGCTTCTAAGCACACCTAGTCCTTAAGCAGTGAGGTTAAGTAGGCGATACTGTGTGTACCGGAGTCGAGCTTGATTGCTGATGTCTAAAGTTTTGGCAACGGTTTCATCTGCCGAGAATGAACTATTTCTCTTGGCAACAAGTTCACCCCAGCAATAATTGCAGTAGTAGTTCATACAAACCAGTAAAGGTTGTGGTCGGTTTACATGTTTTCTTGAGAATCTAAGAGCATATGATGGAGAACCACACTCCTAAAAGATGAGGATTTGGCTTATATACAAGGTGCAAAGAATGCAAAATCTATGTGTTCATCTTGTGTATCAGCTCCTTGAACTCTTCATCAGTGCTTTTCAGCATCACTGATAAGGGTACATTGACCTCACTCTCCCTCAGCTGCTGGTGCCTGGGCTTGATCCTTTTCTCCAAGCTGAAAGCAAAGTACTGGGGGAACTCCTTGAGGTCCTCCAGGCTTCCGCCTATCTCCCTCACGAGGTACTCGTGCTTGGGCTTGAAGTTGTTCTCGATGCTGAAGGTGAACAGCCCCGGGCATCGGAGCACCATGGCCACCGCCTCCTCCCGGGATAGCCCCAGCCCCACCAGGTACTGCAGCTTGGGGATCAAGGTCTTCTCCACGCTGGAGACGAGGAGAACGGGCTCCTGGTACGCCAGGACGCGGGCGTCCCTGAAGCCCAGCCGGTGGAGGTAGATGAGGGCGGGGCGGAGCTGGTCACGGACGCTGGAGGCGAGCAGGCGGGGGCACTTGTTGATGACCCGTCGGATGTGGGAGGCCGGGACGCGGAGGTCGCGAGAGAGGAAGGCGAAGACGGGGCTGAGGTCGGAGCGGATGCTGGAGGTAAGGATCGTGGGGCACATGCCCAGGATCCGGGGGAGGTCCTTGTGGTGGATGCCCTTGGAGAGGAGGTAGGAGATGATGGAGTGGATGGAGTCGGGGGTGGCGGCGCGGAGCGCAGGGTTGAGGGCGAGGACGCGGCCAGAGTCGACGCCCATCACCTCCAGGCTCAGGATCTTCTCACTGACATGAGCGGGGAGGTCCGGGAGTGGGAGGGGGAAGTCATTGCCGCTGGTTGGGGATGATGGGCTCAGCGCTGATGGCTTGGTGGACATGGTTACCACCAACCGGGCGGTGGCAGGGCAAGAGGCACAGAGAAAGTGAAGGAATGGCATGGTGGAGCGAGGACAAGTGGAGAGATAGAGAGGAGAAGGAGGAGGACAGGGAAGCCATGGATGGTGGATCACCATGTCTTTCCGTTATCTGTTGAAGGTCGAGTGTAATTGGCATCGTATTGCAAGCTCATTGGCGGGCTTAGATTCTGTGGATATCACCACCTGACACATGGCATAAGGCTAAAGGACGAAAACCAATTAGATGTCACTTATCTGGAGATCGATTGATAATATAGTTCGGATCTCGAGTTGATTCATGAAACGATAATTTGTGATTAAACACAGTCAGTTTAATTTAGAAATAATTTAAGTATTTTTTTCCACGAAGATAATTTTTGTATATTGTTTGATGCTCATGAAGATAGAGTCAAATCCATTCTCCAAAGTCTTAATAATATTATGTCATCCAACAAAAGCAGTTACAGCAAGAAAGCAACTGAACAACCACAAGCGGCGGTGGCTGAAACCACCGACGATGTACTCTGGTCGACACAATTGCCCATTCACATGCCATGAACAAAGGTGCTGCCACAAAGCAGCTAAAGAAACCACGGACAGTCAAGTAGATGTAAGCACTGGCTATAGACTTGTAACATTAAAGGATCAAGGAAGGAAGCTGAGGGCAAGACCACAACTTGCCCTATTGCCATACACAAACATAACAAAGATGCAGTAGCTGAGACCACTGGGAATAGACTACTGTGTGCATAGTTCAAGAGGATTCAGGGAGAAAACAGAGAACAAGACCACAGTTCGATCATAGTTCAAGCACAGAGAAGAAGACCACATCTATGCCATCCACAATCAAAATCGTCGCAACAAAGCGGCGAGATGCGGTCTTTGTAATTATTCAAGAAGATTCGTGGAGAAAACAGATAGCATAACGACACTGTCACATCCATCCTGCATAGTTCAAACACAGTAGACTAACAGTTGCTGCAACTAAGGCCGTACCTTACTCGATTCCATATACCTTCTTCAGGAAGCACACAAACTCGTAGACCTTGAGGGGGTCCGGAAGAGACTTGGAGACGCTCTCCCTCTCCCTGCATCGCTTGGCCCAAGGCACCAACTTGGGGGTCTCCTTCTCGGTGCTCAAGTTGGCGCAGGCCTCGTAGCTGTAGAACCAGGCCGTGAAGGGGACGAGCGCGATGTCGACCAAGCCGAAGGTCTCGCCGCCGAAGTACTTCTTGTCCCCCAGCTCGCCCTCCAGGAGCTTTAAGATCTCGATGAACTCCTTCTTGGCCTCCTCCTGGGCCTCTCCCTTGAGCTTCCACAGCTTCGTTCCAGATTCGTACATCTGAAAGCGGATACAAGATGTAAACTTTTGAGAAAATGTGCTTCCCCGGGTGCAGCACAAGAAACAAACAGGTGGAAGGCACTCGGGGGATGCACCTTCTTCTCGACGAGGTCGGCCCAGAAGCGGGCTTGGGCGCGGGCGTAGGGGTCCGCGGGCAGCAGCGGCGCGCGGTCGGGCCATTTCTCGTCGATGTACTGGACGATGTTGAGGGACTCGCACACCGGCATGCCGTGGTCGATGAGGACGGGGATCTTCTTGTGCACGGGGTTGGACTTGAGCAACAGCGGGCTCTTGTCCCTCAGGTTCTCCTCGCGGTACTCGTACTCCACCCCCTTCTCCGCCAGTGCGATCCGGCAGCGCTGCCCGAACGGGCTCACCCAGAAGTCCAGCAGCACCAGCCCTTTGTTCTCCCCTTCCGCCATCCAGATCGATCTCTCTCTCTCTATGCTTCTTCGCCGTCGGCGATATTGGTTCCGTAGGCAAACAGGCCTAGGGTGCTTTATGCCGGACCAGCATCGAACCGGTCACCGCCATGTGAGGTCACCGCTTCCGTAATTACCGCAACATTTTTCTTCCTCGCTGTTTTGCAACATTTGTTGGGCGGTATTGTTGGCCGTCCCTCACCTGCTACGTGACCGGACCAAAACATTGTGGCCCTCCCGTGGGTCCCAGTGTCACAACTTCGTTTTCGGATTTGGCGGGCACCGTGGGAAGAGTGGGTCAACGACTGCTCTCCCGAGACTTGCGTCACGGCTTGCGTAACGAGCATTCAGCGCAGGCCGCCGTTGATCACGGGATCAACGATCTGGATTTATATTGGGCGACGTGGGCCGTTCGATGAACCCCCCATCACAATGTTTCTAAACAAACAGTCCGTGAGTTAACGGTAATTACCGGAAAGCAATTTTTAATGATTTTAGTTCTTGTACAAACGGTTGGGATGTTCCTGAATTATATCCCTCCGATGATAAAATTAGTAGAGTGATGATCATAATTAACCTTGCCACGATAGGCTTTGAGGCTTGCTTATATACTTAATTAGTCGATGGAGGATGATCGATCGCTTATCTTTCGTGAAGACCCTCATGTCGTTAAGGATTCATTTATGTCGATGACCAATGAATATGTATTTCTGAAGATTACATCACGGAATGATAGCTGGGAGTGTGCTATTTGTCGAGGTGAAGTATGCTCGAAACGAGTAGAGGATGAGGCTTGGTGTCATGTGCCCAGAGAGAAGAGATAAGCCACACCTTTAGGATTAATATTCCCTACGATCAAGCATGCGAGTCTTTCTAAAATTATGATTAAGAGCGATGGAAAATAGGAAGAAGAGCGATGATCAGCTCGTATAACCTTTTTCGAGAATCTATATTCCCTTTGACAGCTACAAGAGGGGGGAGGCAACGCGGCCTCTGTTGACCCTTAGGTGGTTGTCCACGACTAAATGAATAAACACTGCAATACTCATGTCATTATTTTTCCTCTCCGTTAAAGATATATATGTCAAACTGAAACATAAAAAGGGCCAATACAAAAAAAGATGGTTAGTCTGTGAGAGAAATAAATATGTGCAATTTTTCTAAGCATTTATATCTGAGATGATTCCATTAAAGATTAATCCAACGTTACATTTAATGTACAGCACCGTCCATGAGAAGAAGCAAAAGCATGTGTATGCATGCTGTGTTGGGTATCATGTCGTCTTCCTCATATGGCGCCCAAGTTCTTGAGACCTAAGACGACGCCGACGCCGATGACGTGGCCGACGAGGTGAACCCCGCCGGGTCGCCGGTCTGCAGCCCGGAGTCGCGGACCTCCAGCCTTAGCCCCGCCGTGGCCTTCCTGTTCGCCGACGGAGCCAGCCCGAACCTCCCCGCGAACAACATGAAGCTGGTGCTCGTCAACATTATCTGCCAAATCAACGTAGTCCAACCCATTCAGGAGATGCGCCACCTACCATCTTGCAGTGGATCGAGATCGCCATTAATGGAGGGCTTACGATGTTCGTCGGCGAGCCGATGAAGTCGCAGCGAGCGCCCAAAGCTCCCCTCCTCCCTCGCTGCCTTAGCTGCGGCAGCATCACCTGCCAACGGAAGATCTCATGATGATTCATGCATGCAGCATTCTCATTTGGCGGATCACTGCATCTTTAATACTGCCGACCTCACCATCGATGGCTGGACCTTGAGGCCACTGAAGTGCGGGAGGGCATGACTGCAGCTGGAGAGCTGAGCTCGGAGGCCATGGCTGATGGTCTTGCAGTAAGCTGGGACGACCAGATAGCTTCCGCTCTCCTTTCTACGGACACAGTGGAGCCATAGATCTTTAAAGCATCGACGTGGAGATGTTTTTCTGCCAACGGCGAGACTGGCTTGCGGACTCCTGGATTGTCTCTAGATTCTTGGTGCTGACGTGGCAAACCGTGGTTAGATTGAATCGATAGGATAAGATATTGTTGGGAGAGGAGGCATCAAATTGATTTGGTTCTATCAACACTAGATCGTGTCAAATCAATCTGTCCTACCTGACTTAGATTTGAGTTGGCTCAGTCTTAGTTTTAAGAAACAAAAAGCAAAATTAGTCTATCACCAAAGAGTAAAATTGTAGTATTCAAACAAATCAAGCAAGCATTATACAAACATAGCTAAACACCAAAGATTTAGTTTTGCTTATAAGAAAATATTTTCTTTAATATTTTATAGAAAAGATTTGGGGTTGTGATTTTCCAGATTACATATTCCCACAAAATTACTTTGAAAGTTAAACAGAAAACAAAAACACTTTTTTACGTCTTAATACGAGTCGGATCCATCACAATCCGGCGGACACTATAAAGATCCGACCCGTTTATCGACACTCGCGTCTCTCTTAAACCCTCGCTGTCTGTCTCCCAATAGTTCCCTTGACGCCGCTGCCCCTCTCCCGGGCTACGCTGAATACCCTCCGACGAAGCGATAACCCTAAACCACCAAATCCGGTGCTACTCGACGTTCGATCCCCTGGCGATGAAGCCGCGCAGCCGCAAGAGGGATGACCGGCCCAAGGCCGGTAAGAAGAAGCCCAGATCCTTCGGCGGCGACAACGGCTTCTTTGAATCCGATGCCAAACGGAGGGGACGAAGGCGCGGCGGCGACGATGACGTCGAGAGCATAGATAGCGACGAAGACTTGGCGGGCCTTGGTGCTGGAGAGGAGGAAGTGGGGGAGGGTGCCCCCGAGGAGACTGCGGACGAGAAGCGGGTTAGGGTCGCGAAGGAGCACTTGGAGAGGATTCGAGCTATAGCGAAGCGGGTGGAGGAGGAAGAAGGGGAAGACGAAGACGAGGAGGAGGGACGAGAGGAGAGGGAGGGGAAAAGGGATTCTTTGGTGGCGGAGATTCTCCAAAAGGAGCAGCTTGAGGAAAGTGGTCGCATCCGCAGGCTTGTCGCGTCAAGGTAATTGGAAGGAATAACTTTAAACACGATTTGTTTCTGCTTTTAATTTTATCTGAAAGAGCTACATTTTGCTACTGATACTTTCCCCTGTCAACTTAGCTAATTTACTCGGCTTGATGTTCGATTTACGTGGAAACACAATGAATTTTGAACTAATGTCATTGACTTATTACTCTAGTGTCTAAATCTCAAATTCGCACATCTAATAAAATACATTGTGTCAACTTAGACCCTTTTAGATTTGATGATTATGGGGCTTCTTTTAAGGCCCATTTATGATGTGAAAAAACTGCAGGGTTTTAAGTCCGCAACCTGTTGATGAGTTCCGATGGCTTGTGAAGCACCGGCAGCCTGTTACATCTGTAGCTTTGGCTGACGATGACTCAAGAGGGTTTTCAGCTTCCAAAGATGGAGTCATTATGCACTGGGACGTTGAGAGTGGCAAATCCGAGAAGTACTTGTGGCCTAGCGAGGATGTTTTGGTGTCACATTATGCAAAGCCCCTGCAGAATTCAGCTAGGAAGAGAAGTAAGAATGTTTTAGCTTTGACTGTCAGCTCTGATGGGCGATATTTGGCTAGTGGTGGAATGGATCGACATGTCCATTTATGGGATACTCGAACTCGGGAGCATCTACAGGTTAGCTCTCGGTGGCCATTGTCATTCTGCACGACTATATCAGGGTACAATCACGTAGATGTTTTACTAATACTACAGGTTGCTGCTTATTATAAATGTTCTCTTTATGTTTTACAGATACAGAGAGGTATTTTTGGAATTTCCGTTTGCACATTATTCATCACCCTTGTGGTTCTTTTCTAGTTAAAAGCAGTCCATCGTGCTTTATTACCATTGAACTGTCTTATCATTCGAGCAGCTTACACTTGCTCCTTTTCATACATGCATATGACAATCGCATATCCAATGCCCAAAGCTCCCACCAATGTGGGGACTGAGGATGGTCATTGTACATTGTCTTGTATCTAAATATAAAGAGGTTGTTTTCATGACTCAAATTCTGGGCTCCCGAGTTGCAAAGGAGCAACCTTATCATGCATATGACAATCACTAGAGCATAATTATGAAAACCATTTTACTGTTGTAATTCAAACTAAGACTGATTTTACAGCATTATTCTTCTTGACAGGCATTTCATGGTCATCGAGGTCCAGTCTCATGCCTTACTTTTAGACAGGGAACTTCACAGCTTTTCTCTGGTTCCTTTGATAGAACCATTAAACTGTGGAATGCTGAAGACAGAACCCACATGGACAATTTATTTGGTCATCAAAGTGAAATTTTGACAATTGACTGTCTACGCAGAGAACGCCTTTTGACTGCAGGACGTGACCGGACCATGCGATTGTGGAAGGTCAGCATCAGTGTCTTACAGTACTTAACTAGAACAATGTCTTAAAGCACTTTAACTCTAACAATGAACATTTAGTGTGGTTTACATCAAGTATAACCGATTGTCAAGACACGTCTTATCTGTGCACTCTCCATGTTTTACTTGCTTCTGCAATTCTTCTGTGATTCTGGTCATTTCAGTTTCTAAAAGATGAAGATAATATAGAATATTAATTTAAAAGTAATTTGTTGCACATATATGTCTTGCTATGGTTTCAAATTTACTTTGTGTGCTACTTAAAGTCTAAACCATGCATGTGATGACATTTTTCCTTTTCGTGCTGTAGGTGCCTGAGGAATCACAATTGGTCTTTCGGGCTCCTGCATCATCTTTGGAATGCTGCTGCTTTATTAATGACAGTGAGTTCTTATCTGGCTCAGATGATGGAAGCATTGAGCTCTGGAGTGTAATGCGCAAAAAGCCTACACACTTAATAAAAAATGCACATGCTCCATCTTTATTTTCTAATGATTTTTCATATAAAGAGGATGATATCACTATGTCCAATGGTGGCAGTACAGGTAAGATAATTTACCTTTCAGTCATATCATGGTTTAGTAGTGTCAACCTCTTAAGTGAAGATTAACCAGTATGTGTTTTACTTTATGCATTTGCAATATTTTGTAGTTATCATTTTGAATCTTGCTTTTTTTGTTTATACATCAGCTGATTTGCATCTAGATTGTGTACTATCATTTGCTTTTGGCATATTTATTTATGTAATATTCTAGTGATTGCATCTAACTGTGGTCTTTCTTAGAAAATGGTTCTCATGGAGATGAAAACTGTTCTTCAGCCCATGCATGGGTTAGTTCAGTTGCTGTGTGTAGAGGTAGTGATCTTGCTGCATCTGGAGCTGCTAATGGTGTGGTTCGTGTATGGGCTATCGACAGTGATAGCAAAGGGATCAGTCCATTACTAAGTTATCCACTGGTATTGTTAGACTTTCTACACCTTTCCTGAGCCTCCTAATTGTTTCTTTTTTTTTTTTTGATGTGTCATATTATAATTATTGGTTAATATGAGACTAAAATAAAGTAGTTCACACTAAGCTCTTGCGTAAATTATCAGCATAAGGATCTCTATATAACATCATGCTATGTTTGTCTTCTGTAAACATGCACTAAACATATAATTTTGAGCTTGTTATCTTGATATATTCCTTGTTTGCACAAATTGCACAAATGCGTGCCATAGTATTGGAACTTTCTCTCTAATAATGTAAAATTGCGTTATGCACTCAAATAATTACCTGTTCTATAGCAGAACTTAATTGTCAGCATGGAACAAAAGTTTTCATATATAAACAATTAGATATAGTTTGATAGACAATAAAATGAGGACGAATCGTCTGAAATATTGTGGACTTATTCTAAAGAGACGAAAATATTATGAGTAGATGATGTGAGACAATTAACATTAAAGATGCAAGCAGAAAAGAGGAAGATCTAATATTACGTTACTAGGGATTATAAATAGAGACATTATGGGCTTGTTGTTGATAGACGTATTGTGTGTCTCAGCTTGTACATCTGATGAAAAGGAATGTTTTTCTATATTAATGTTGCATGGTTAGTGAGTCCGTTAGATGCTTTCTATGTCTCAGCTTGTACACCTAAAAAAAAGGAATGTTTTTCTATACTAACGTTCATCTAATTCTGTCCTTTATGTTTTACGATGATTTTAGCTAAATAAGGTTGTTATACCATGTCTATTTACTATCTGACAAGCAGGCTGGATTCATCAATTCACTTGCATTTGCAAAATCTGCACGCTTCCTTGTTGCTGGCGTTGGTCAGGTACCATCTGTTTCTTTTCCTTTCTTACTCATCTCATTTATTAGATTGATTTAGTTCAAAAGCTTGTCTGACCGTGGTAATTGACCAGAAAATCTTCATCTTTCATTGTTCATTGACTAAAATTTTACATCAAACAGTAATTCCTTTTCGACCTAGATCTCTTTATTTTACTCTGAAAATATAACTAAGTCCACCTTAAAATCATTATACCTTTTTGATTTATTGATAGTATTAGAACACATTAGCTAATCTAGCATCTTATATTTCTTAAATTTCTAATCTCCAGTTTTACCATGAGATCAGAAACTAACCATAATGGACTGCCGTAGAGAAGATTGTCATCCTTAACAAAATTGCTTAGAAGCGAGAGTTTATGTTTATATCTAAATGATACTTAGTCAAGTTAAATTGATGTCCAACAAGTTTTAAATGCTAATCAACTGAAAGAAACATGAGCAGTTTTGCCTACCTCTAAGATGCAGAGATGTGCCGTAGTCCTCTATGTGCTCATTTGTGGTTGGAAGACCTACTGAACCTATCAAACCATGCCTGCATGAGGCCTTATGTCACCTTCTTTGTCGAACAACTTGAACTGCAACTACCAATGTCCATAAACTGCCACAGAAAAAGTTCTAGGAAGAAATTCTAGGTGGATGATTTCAGTTCATTTGTTGTTTCTTTTCTTATTAAAAACATTTTGTTTCTTTTATGTTGTCCTCCAAAAGTGTGTATGTGTTCACATATGGCATCTTGTACCAGGAACCTCGCTTGGGAAGATGGGCGCGTGTTCCATCGGCACGAAATGGAGTTGCAATACACCCAATTAAATTAAAGGAAGATCACACAATGGTCTCTTAAATGCTGGCCTTTACCAATGGCTCATGCAAGCATAAAAGGATTCTTCAGTTTTTGCTAGTAAGCGGTGCAAGTTACAGTGTTTTTCAGAGAGTTGATAAACTTTCCTCTGCTCACATATATTTCTTATGTAACAATTGATTACACAACTTGCCCTTTTGATTGATTTCACCTCAGTGTCTCGAGCATTAGCAAATACAGATGGCGTAAAGCCAATGAGTCCATGTATTCCTGTAGCAGCTCATTTTGTATGACAATTCTTTTTTCCATGGAAAGATTTGTGCAGTTTTGAGCTGGTGGCTGGCACACTGTGGCAGAGTATGGTGGAATGATCTTGGCGTCACTAATTATTATTTTTAAAGATCTGTCATTTTGTGGTAGCATCATGTTCTTTCTTTTTTTTGAATAGCTCTAGGATATGATCTTTTGGCTTCAGCATCTGGAAGGCACTATGCCCTGTAACAGAGTGTTCCAAGTCCCAATCCAATGAAACACCGTATAATCTGGCCTACCTAATCCATTAAATGTTCGAGAAACTTGTAAGATCTGTTTTGCTGCATGAATGGTTTGATGCTAGTAGAAGTATATAAAATAGTTTCAGATTAAATTTTCACTGTGTACTGTGGATTATACTTCTGTGAACTGATTTGATTTGTGATCCTGCAAATGAAGGTTGTTACTGCTTATATGATAAATCTCTGATCTACGTTGCAAGGCGTTCAACTTGATCTGATGAAGAGATTGGTTTGAGAGATATTATATACTGTGTTTTTTGGTTTAGTAAATATTGCAACTCTATTAAAAAATATTACAAATAAAAAACACTATAACTCTATCACTCTGTTACAAAAATATTGTAGACCTCAAAAGATGAGGTTATTTTAATGAAAAATTCTATTTTTTTAACGATATTTTGATTTTTTTTAATACAAAAGGAAGTGGTTTGAGAAAATATCAAAACATGAGGTTTTTCCTAGAAATCGTTTCATATAAAAATATTCTATTAATTTTGACATCGATTCTATATACTTTTTCCTTTTC